CTGGGATCGAACCACCGACTCTGCCACCTGAGATACAGCCCCCCCACAAACTGGGTGGCTGTAAACAAACTGATCAGAAGCACATAAAAGCTCAGGTATGAAAGGCTTTTATCTCTTTTGATGTCTGTTTTTATGGCTACATTGTATACCAAACTTAATAGCATCTAAATTAAAGTGATGCACTCACATTGCAGTGTAAAAATTCTAAACAACAAAAAGCACTTTGGTGCACAGGTGAGTGCACAAAGCTGAAAACGAGGTGGCGCCAGCCTTAAGGTGAGAAACGGGCCATGCACTAGAGGGGATAAAATATCTCCAGCATTAGAAGTCTGCAAAGGTGGTCTCCTTCACCTCCATGCTGGCAGCCAGTCATATTCATCAGGTGATACGCTGACATCGCTCTGCCTCTCTGTAATCTTACTGCATGTTTGCAAATGTATTAACTTTGTCCTTATTAACTACAGACAAAGAAAGATCCCAAACTTGGTTTCCACACATTGTTGCAGCTTCCACATGTAAATGCGTTTTTTCACCAGTCTCTGTCCCTTACATTTATTTACAACCGCAGCACAGCTCCCTCTTGCCAAAGGACTGATATGAGCCAGAGCAAAGTTCGCTGAGTCAAAGCAGTGCAGACTCACTGTTGTCACTCCTCTTGACTTAATGCTGCATCTTATTGATGTTGGTTTCAGGCCATCTCTGACCCTCAGGCTGTATTTAGTTCCCTGTATCATATAAAGTCATTAATATCATCTACATTATTCTGCATAAGTACTTTCACTCCAAATACTTTAAATGGATTTAAATGAGTATTAATGCATCTTTTTGCCTTTTTACCTTGCAAACTACCTGGTGTGAAATGACCTTTTATTTATTAACATCTGCACAACAAGGACACATTTCTGCATATAAGCCTGAAAACCAACATTTTATCCACTGATTTTCTACTTTTTCTATTTCCTCACCTCTGGGAAGTCTCTCTTGAAAGTTTGTCGGTGGATAAAAATCTGCATTTTTATGTGGATGGGATTGTGTTCAGGTTATTTTTATCCAGAGGTGTAACTGCATATAACGATGTATTAAACGAGATCTGATAAGTGGCCTTTAAGCTCATTTGAGTGGTTTATGTCTCGAACGTGATGAGGG